GTACAAATTCCGTTTTGGTATGTCTAGTTTAGTTAAAAAGAGTTCTAACGAATGGTTGTAGTTTGGAAGGTACAAGTACCTTAGAAATGTACTTTCTGTTACTTAGGATAAAAGTTGTCCACAGGATTTTGGAGAGTAGTGCAGCTGCATTCCAGTGAAGGGTCCTGTTTTTCTCCTGGTCAAAGGAGAGGGGTGCAGCCTCTTGATTCAGCCGTAAATCTGACTGAGTCTGGGGTTGGGGTATTAAGCTGACAGCTTTATGCCACAATCCCAGACTTGATGGAGCCAAAAGGCCCTTAACTTTTGGGTAAACACTCTGCTTGAGGTAGAGTTTCAGCCAGTGTTCGCTACACTATCACATTGCGAAGTATTGTCAACCTTCCTTGTTGCATGCGGAGTGTCTTTGTTAAGCCTTTTCATGTATGACCTGTTTTTCATGATTTTTGACGTACCCTTTTTCTTGTTTGCCCTTATCAGTTTGTTTGCTGTGATTATTCTCATCTCTTGGTTTTTGATTGTGGATTGGTAACTGGTTTCACTCTCTTGATGTCCCTTCAGTTATGTTTATTGAGCTCTCTGGTTTTGACCTTGGACTGTTACGACTACTCTCTTTGTGATTCTCCTAAATCTGTAAGAAAACTACCACTTTGTTTTTAATCTGCAAGCATCTGATCTGTTTCAATTTCCTAACAATTACCTTACAATCCCATATCACAGGCATTCAACATTTAACTCTTAGGCTTAAAGGGCGCAGAAATTGAAAACTTGCCAGGTGCAGGGATCTACTTTTACCACAACTGTAACAGGGATAAATTAGTGTAAAAAAAGAGATGCTACAGAAGTTAAATGCTCTTTCGAAAAATGTAGAAAATCAAACTTTATATTAAAACCAATAAAAACTGTTAAGCAGTCGTTTAATGAATGTATTTAGGGCTATCCATCAATGTGGCCAAACATATAACTCATTTATTTGCTTCCAATTGAACACATCTGACTATTTTCTCTTTTTTCTTCTTTTTTGTAGGGAATCACCAGTGTTGTTGGCACTACTCCCCAAATTCAGATGGGGCTCTCTTCATATCACAAGCTTTGCAAGAATTATTGTTCAGTCTTTCTGCCTTGAAACTTACATTCATGTTTGTTAACAACTTAAATCTGTTATTGGTCACCTTTGCTCTGCATGCACACATTTTCCAAATGGTCATCGATGTATCTCATATCTGATTTGAAAACTTTGAAGATTCACACAGCTCCTCATCAAGTGCAAAAAAGTGCAGACAAACATTACAAACAACTGAGAGTGAAAAACGACTACCTAATATAAAATGATGTAGCTGAAAACTTTGTTGCTAACACTGAGCTAGATTAATTACAACTGTAATTAAATTACACAAATGTAGCTTGTATAATGAACTGGCCAGCAGCTATCAACTCTCAAAAATCTGATGAACCAATTAAAAAGAGTGCCACACCATTCTAACAAGAAAAGAAAGATGATCAACAGACAAACAGAAACTTCTCTGACACAGGAGTAACATCTGTTAGATAGCTAGCTTGTTTTAAAAGTAGAATGCTGTTTGATATCATTTCGTGTTTATGACAAAAATGTATAATAGTTCATATACCCTCAAATTCAGTCTTTCTCAGTGATTTTGCACAGAACCTTAGATTAAAAACTTTTTTAAGGGTTATTTAAACAGAAAGAACGAATCCTCTGAGCAGAGATGCTACAAAAAAGAATCACAGAAAGGCAAGTGAGTGAAAATGAGTGATGAAAAGCATTGCTGTCAGTGAGCCTACAGTGGCCCACTGTCCTCTTACTATCTGTGTTAAACCCTAAATGACAATATAGCCATTAGACTGGTGTAGCCTCTGTAAAGGCCTTTGTTGCAACATTTTTGTTCTATTCCAGCTGTACAAATTGTGCTCATGTAAACTCTGAGAACACACAGATGAGCCGTAACAATGAAACCACCTCATTGTATCTACATTCTTTGTCTGTTTTATCAGCTCCACTTACCATATAGGTGCACTTTATAGTTCTACAATTACAGACTGTAGTTTATCTGTTTCTCTGCATACTCTGTCCCCTTTTACCCTGTTCTTCAATGGTCAGGACCCTCACAGGATGACCACAGAGCAGGTTTTAATTTGGTGGTGGATCATTCTCAGCTCTGCAGTGACACTGACACGAGGTATGAGTTGATCAGACACAGCATTGGCGCTGGGGTTTTTAAACACTGTGTCCACTCTGTTAGACACGCTTACCTCATTGTTCATCTTTATGATGGTTTAAAATAAAAATAAGACTTAATAAAAAATGAAAATGTTTTGCAAACATTTTTCTTACGTGTAATGCTGCATCATTTTAAAAAATGTATTAATTGACACAGGCAATAACACTATTTTATTATAATAAATTAGTCTTTTTTGTAGTTAAGTTCTTTGATATGTATTTGTGTTCCACAGGAGTTGGTTTGTTTCTGAAAATAAAACTACTGCTTTTCAAAATATGAAAGGCATACTGTTAGTAGTTCTACAGGAGCATTAAGCTTCTTGTTTAACTATGCAGCATGAAGAAACTGATGGAATTAGTTTTATAGCACATTGTAGTGTACCGGAATTCATTTTGCAGTATGCTAAAAACAATTGTATTATTCTACGTAGTACTGTAGAATGAAATACAGCAGCTTGCTGGCTAATTGTTGCTGGTAAGTTACTGTTATTTTAACAGTAAAACTTTTGCATTGTACAGATTTTTACACAAACTCAAGCTCAGACAGATTGATATGATCAGTGATGATATTGCTGACAGCTCCACAATGCTGGGTAAAATGACAAGGCGTCTTGTGGAGTTACACAAAATGAACAGAAGGCAAATTCAAATGAGCTTGAGCCCAGAAAAGGAGGCAGTGTTTTGGAGCACCACTGACATATGGCTTTCACTGTGTGCAATACATTCTTAACTTGCATTTGAGAAGCAGCGATGGACAATGTTTATTGACAACAGACTTTCAAAGCATTTCTGAGTCCAATGGGTGAAATCCTTTACAGACACAGGCTAGTTTCAAATGCAGTTTCATCGAACATCATGGCCATTTAGTTTTGGCTTACTGCCTTTCCCTTAATGCACAGAGTTATTATGGACAAAAGGTATTATGCATGTAGAGTAAAATATCTAAAATTCTTTGTGAACTTGGGCTAAAGAAACATCAGTCCAAAAAGGAAAAATTAAAATCTCTCAATTAGCAATTGCAAAATTAAAAAATATTGGTCTGGGAGCAGTGGCAGTAATTTGAGATGGTTTATGCATCTCAAGATATTTGAGAGCAGCAAAAAGAAAACCAGTAAAGTTGGCACACCTGGAATGCTGTCCTAAAGAAAATATGCCACCCAACCCTAAAGACCACAAAAGTACCTTCAGGTGTGTAATCACCTGGAATGCTGTCCTAAAGAAGATGTCACCCAACCCTGATGCTGATTGATGGAGAAGACAAATTAAGATATGTACCCAGAGGGTTAACTCTATGTGGATTCACTATTTTATTTAACTGCTCATTAACATATTTTGTTAATGATCTAATTAATTACCTTTACTAAAGAAATTTTCAACTATAAAACAAATTTTCTTTGTATAGTTCTATGTAGCCTCAGCACTGGAATACAGTTTGATATATTTGCTTTGTTCATAATTCAGAAGCACAAACTTTCACACACACACACACACACATTTTCTAAGCCTTTTATTCTTCTGGGCCACAAGAGGAGCTGGAGCCTATTCCAGCAGTCATTGGGTGGAATACACCCTGGACATGTACATAGATTTTCAGTTAAGATTAAAATCTATTGAAACACAAAACAAACAAAGGCCATACAGACTCACCTCTTAACCTACAACATAATTAAAGCAGGACTTGCCAGCTCCATTTCTGCTATCTGACATCACATCACTGGGTTTTTCCACACCAAAGTCAACTTCACTGTCCATCTACCCACAGACTGCGTTAAGTGATAAACATAATATACTGTTAGAAATAAACGTTCTGTGCAGGTGCATTTTCCGTTCATCAAGGTACAAACAATGTCATTTTTCCTTAAAGGTACAACAGTGGTACCTACCTCCAATTGTGTACCTTAAATATTTTTTTTTTCAGGTGAAAAGTACATATTTGTACCTTTACATAACCTTATGTTTTAAAAAAAGAACAATAAAATAAAAAGCCTGGAGATGAGACGGGGTGTGTGAAGTCAATGCAACTTAGAAAATATAATTTCAATGGATTATAGTACAATTATTTTCCCTGGCCAAAGGTACTGAGATGTACCCTTGAGGGTACCACTCCAGTCACGTGAAGGATGCTGCCCCAGTGACTACCTTTTTTTTCTGAGAGTGTATAGTCCCACCAAAACACAATTCAACATTTAACACACAATGGCTTCAGACAACAAAGCAAAAAATCTAAAAAGTACAGACACTTCACAATTAAACATCTTTTACCCTATTGTATTTTATTTAATTCATCATTTAACTATTTATTTACATTTTTATTTACTACTAAGCATTCTCATGTTCGTGGTAGGGTGGAGTAAATGCAACTTGGATTTCTTATCTAATCACTAATATTGCCAACTATGGAGCTTATAGGCTAAACTGAGCAGCTACGGGAACTTGGCTAAATCATGTTAACTAGCTAGCAAGGTTAGGCGTGACCCCAAAGAAATAAAAAAAATTGATGATGTTTGTATTTTACAAGCAAACAGTTTATCATTGCTATATTTTATGTTATTCCATAGTATTTGGTACAAAAATAAACATACCGCAGATAGAATCTCCACATTAAATTGCATAAAACTCTTCAGTTTCTTCAAGACTTGATTAACATGGATACAATACTCGCTACCAAACTGATTAAGGTAATCTCTGAGATGTTTTATGACCCTCCTACATTCCTAAATAAAGGTATAAATATGTTAGGCAGTAAAGGAGCCCAGCAGGTGCAGTTGCAGCAGGAGGAGCATCTTTAGGGATCTCTACAACTGCTGGCTTCTCACTGCTACTTAATGTGCCTTCTTAGGTAAGTCATCAGTATTGTTTAATGATGGAACTGACACTTTTGTGAAAAAAATGAATGGAATTTGAATTATTTATGTGAGACACAAAATGATTAATGTGTTCCTGTCTAAATGTTTTAAGATTTATAGCTATTACTACAGGTCTTTAAATAAACAAAACAAAAAAAAACAAATATTGTAAGATTACAAATATAAAAGAAAACATTTTTAAAATGATGAAATTTCTCTAAAGGATAGGGCAGCTAGTAAAAGACTAGGGCAAGATTTTTATTTAATTTAGTTCAGATTTAAGCAGCTAGGAAAAGGAAACATAACCTGCACAATGCATTAATCTCTATGACGACAAACTGAATTTACATGACTATCATTACTGCATCCGCGCAATGTGCAGAATCCATACAATTAAGAGATTGTCGCATTGATCAACATATTCATTTAAATACACTTCAAAATATGCACAAATGAAAGAGGCCATGACACAGTAAACAATTATCTACTCTTTCAAATTATCAAATACTGTGTTAAAGCATATCCACGAGTTATTACAAAGGCAAAGTCCATAACGCAGCCGGAGTATATTTTACAAGTGATCATTCAGGAGAAAATTAACTTTTAGAATTTACCAAACCTACCAAACTTTGTATTGATAGAATCAGCCAGTTGAATGTCTTACAAACAACATGGCTAGAACTTGTATGGTAAAACAAATCCAGCTAAAATTTACAAATGTCTTATGACATTGTGTAGATGGTTACATAGCTTCATGCAGTGTAATACTGGACTGTCATTCTACTTGGTCATGCAGGTTTGAACTGAGGAGCAGTTAATCATAATGGGGTTTCAAATCACACTGGGCATGACACTACTGTTGCTAATGAATGGTAAGTTTTTTTGCACATTTTCAAAAATGTGCTCTACTGCTAACCAAGTACAACCCCATTTCCAGAAAAGTTGGGATGCTGTGCAAAAAAGTAAATAAAAATAGAATGCAATGATGTGCAAATCATATAAACCCTATATTTTATTGAAAATAGTACAAAGACAACATATCAAATGTTGAAACTGAAAATGTTCATTGTTTTTTTTTAATTTAATGCCAGAAACACGTTCCAAAAAAGTTGGGACAGGGGTATGTTTACCACTGTGTTGCATCATGTCTTCTTTTAACAACACAGTAACTGTTTGAGAACTATGGAGACCAACTGCTGTAGTTCTGAAAGTGAAATGTTTTCCCATTCTTGTTTGATGTAGGATTTCAGGTGCTCACCAGTTCGGGGTCTCCTTTGTCGTATTTTTCATTTCATAATGTGTCAAATGTTTTCAGTGGTGACAGGTCTGGACTGCAGGCAGGCCAGTTTAGCACCTCTTTTACAGCAGAGCCATGCTGCTGTAATATGTGCAGAATGTGGTTTGGCATCATCTTGCTGAAGTAGTCAAGGCCTTTCCTGAATAAGACGTTGTCTGTATGGCAGCAAATGTTGCTCCCAAACCTGGATGTATCATTCAGCATTAATGGTGCCTTCATAGATGTGCTAGTCACTAATGCCATGTGCACTAATGCCCTCCTATACCATCATGAAGACTGGCTTTTGAACTGTGCACTGATAACAAGCTGGGTGGTCTTTAGCCCGGAGGATGCAGTGTCTATGATTTCCAAGAAGAATTTCAAATGTTGATTCATCAACATATCTCAGTCCATAATAAATAATGAATGAATAATGAATGAATAATGAATTCGGGCCCAGAGACAGTGCTGGCATTTCTGGGTCCTGTTTATATATGGTTTGCTCTTTGCGTGGTAGAATTTTAATTTGCATTAGTAGATGCAGCAATAAACTGTGTTCACAAACAGTGTTGTTTGAAAGTTTCTGAGCCGAGGCAGTGATTTCCACTACAAAATCATGTCTATTTTTCATGTAGTACCATCTGACAGCATGAAGATCACAGCAGGCCAGTTTTGGTTTTTGGCCTTGTCCTTTGCATAGTTATTTCTGTGGATTCTCTGAATCTTTTAATGATATTATGTACTGTAGATGATGAAATCCCCAAGTTCTTTGCTATTTTATGTTGAGAAATGTGATTCTTGAATTGTTGCACTATTTGCATGTGCAGTCTTTCACAGAGTGGTGAATCCCTCCCATCTTTACTATTGAAAGACTCAGCCTCTCTGGGATGCTCTTTTTATACCCGATCATGTTACTGACCTGTTGCAAATTAACCATTAGGTGATTTTTTTAAAGATTATACATCTTTACCAGTCTTTTGTTGCCCCCGTTCCAACTTTTTTTGAAATGTGTTACTGGCATCAAATTCAAAATGGGCACATAATTTTCAAAAAACAATAAAATGTCTCAGTTTGAACATTTGATATGTTGTCTTTGCACTGTTTTCAATTAAATATAGGGTTATTTTGTCTTTATTTACATTTCGTACAACGTCCCAGCTTTTTTGGAAATGGGGTTGTAAATACTAAAAATAATAATTTTAAAAAATAGTATTTTCTGCAACTGTTAATGCACACTAACTGTTTTTTTTTTTTTTAAAGTGTGCAAAAGTTGTGTTTAAATTCTTTTCACTTTAGAAATCAACAACAAATGTGGAATTTGGCCAGGGGTGCCCAAACTTTTTCATACAACTTTGCTTCTATATGTTTATATCATATACTGTATGTCAACAACAAACATTTATTCCCAGATTTTCCAATATCAAATGCTATTATTTCTCTACATATGAGCAATATTCTTTCTTTTACAGGAGGAGTGAACATAGGACAGTCAGAAGGTAATCAGTGTTGCATTGCTGAGGGTTTACATCAAATCTTGAACTTGATAAATCTAAATATTTACAAGTACAATCACTTTTCAGTTTGCTTTCTGGTGAAACTTTAAAATTAATAGTAATACATAGATATCACTAGCATCAGTAGATGCAGTTAAAATACTACAATATAAATTGTCTGTTTCATATATAAATTAAATGCAACTCATAAGTAATCTTGTCAGTCTGTTATTCCTTTCCTTCTCCTATCACTCGCTTCTGTTACCTGATATCTTTGCCAAACATCTTACTTCCCTCTACCCCTGGCATTTTGTAAATCATGTGATCAGTCATTATCTCATCTTAAATATGCCCTGCAGATATAAAGAAGGTTCTTTTGAAGTCAATGGCACTCATCCACAAAGCACATCAGTGTTGTGTAAGAACTTGAAGTGTAACTTGAGTACATGCTAAAAACCTCCCAAACCTGCCAATCCAGTAACACCTAAGAAAAAACATCGATCAGTTAATGTTTTTTACTGATTATGTAATTAGATTTTCTCTCTCGAAAAAAAAAAGAACCTCCATTCTTTTGCATGGATTCCACAAGATGTTGGAAACATTCCTTTGGGATTCTGGATTGCATCATATAATTCCTGATTTTTCAGGTGCGCTTTCTTGTTGAGAATCTCCCATTCTTCCACATCCCCAGACTGGATGCACCAGCCTGGACTGTTAACACAAGGCAGGTAGGGCCCATGGATTTGTGCCATTGGCGCCAAATTCTGACCCTTACTACTCGTGTGCCTCAGCCGAAATTGAGATTTAACAGACCAGTGTTTTTCCGTCTTTAACTGTTCAGTTTTAGTGAGCCTGCTCTCACTGTACCCTCAGCTTTCTATTCTTGGCTGACAGAAGTGGAACCCGACATGGTCTTCTGCTGTTCAAACCCACCCTCCTCAAAGTTGGATGTGTTATGCATTCTGAGATGCTGTTCTTCTCACCACAATTGTACAGAGTGGTTATCTGAGTTACCGAGCCTTTCTGTCATCGCAAACCAATCTGGCCATTCTCTGTGACCTCTGTCATAAACATGGTGTTCCTGTTCAATGCTGTGTTTGCTAATCATGTGCTGGCTAGTTGTTTGTGTTATGCTCAAAATAAGATCAAAACAATTGTTACCAAACTTCTTTACCAAAAGGCTCTGTAGTGATTATGATTGTTTTTGTAGGGATACAATGGAATTTTAACTCATTTATTTTAATAAAATAAACATAAATATGGAAAACATATGCTTAAAGCAAAAGTCCATAAGTCCAAGTCATGTAAAAAATCTAACTCTTTTTAACTCTGAATTTGAACCAAGTCAGTAGAATAATCAATATATTGCATTTGTTGGACAGCCATTTTAACCTTTTCTCATTTTTGTTTCCATGATAGCCAAATCAAACACCTTCGATCCCTGCAATAAATACACTTCTCTGGATCAGCCCTGGAGAGCCAATAATGAGACTGGATTAAACATCTGTGACAGGGACTTCAACTGGAACGGCTGGTACCGACTGTTCTATTATGGGATGAACATTCGTTTATCAGAGAGCTGTGTTTCTACATTCAGATGTGGTACTTATTACACTCTGTGGCTCAATGGTCCTCATCCTCAGATAGAGGATGGAGTGGTCACTCGTCAGGTCTGTGTAAATGCAGGGGGTGACTGCTGTTCCTTTGGTTCCACCTCAATTAAAGTAAAGACTTGTCCAGGAAACTACTCTGTGTACAAGCTTGTCAGTCCAAGCTACTGCAACATGGCTTACTGCACAGGTACAACTTCTAAACCTGATTTTATTTATGAGTTTTTTATTCATCATGATTATAAGTTGTATGTTGCCATGCCTACTTAAAATATTTCCTCTTTCCAGATGTCAGCACCATAACCCCAAATCCTGCCGCAACAAATTCACAATCCAACACAAGCACGAGTAGGTTTTCACTGTTATTCTCATCTATTTAGTCTCTTAAAGGTGTGTTTTTACATTGTAGTGGTGGTTTGATTTTGGTTTTGGTTTTGTAGTATCAGTTTCGAGAATGTAGAAAGGAAAATCAGGTGCTAGCTAATCATTTTGTGTTGTGAGTTTAAGAAGCCAAATTTTGACAAAGGAACATATTTATTACGTAGCACATTAAAAAGCAAGGGAGGGTGAATCCTTGTCATCAAAAAAGTGAAACCATGAAGAAACAAATCAAAATCCAGACAGGCGACGGCAGAAAACAAGGATCAACATTGGTGTCGACTTTCCCACATCGCTGATGGAAATCGCTGATGAGGGACAAATGTTTTTAGAGTGACACCAAAGTTGCCTGTTCTGTGCTAGACAGGTAATTTAGCATTCCAAACTACTTGACGGCCACCATAGGCTCTACCACACACTTGGAAAGGGAGAGATGAGGGAGAGGTAATCAGTTGGCTTCAATCTGCAAACTCAACACTAGATTCCTCTAAATCTCACACAACTGCAGGCACTGCAAGTTGCTGAATTGATTTAAGTATCAATAAAAGTTTTTTTTCCCCCCACCTCCATTCTATAGGGCCATTTGATACAAATCTCTTCTCAAGTCCACAGGAGAGTAGATAATGGCCTGCTTTTTAATATATCATTAGCTCTTTAACGTCTCAAAAAGCAGTGGCACAGGTATGTGTTAGCACTGAACAATAACTTTGGCCCGTTTCACTCTTTAAAAGTAATATCAGAAGTTTGCTAAGTGGATGCTATGCTAACATTGCTAACAAAAACATTGGCCTTTGAGTGTCTTCAAACTCATCTTTGTAAATATATGCCCAGAAACGCCTCCCCACCCGCTAAAAACATATCTATTTGTGTTGTGCAGACACATCAATGTGGTTTACAACTTGCTATGACACTTTATTGTAAAAAAAATAATAATAATAATAAATAAAAAATAAAAAAATCTCCACATAGCTGAATGGTAGGGCACCCAGTAACTGCATAAGACGACCAAAGATGGAGCTGTGCGAATACAGACAGTAAGGTAACTTGGCAGAGAAGCCAAGTAAAAAACAAGAAAAAATCAAAACAATGTCTGATTATGATTGTGATGACCACATTTTCACTTGTATCTTTTTGAACCTAAGTACACACATGAGGAAACTTACCTACATGACAGGATAGCAGACACTGCACCTTGTACGACAGGAATTAGGTTTATTTATGAAAAGTGCCTGGTGTCTGATGTGAGGAATGGGAGCTACGAAGATTAATAAAAAAAAAAAAAAGAAAAGAAGGCTTATCTCAAATCCACTTCTCATTTGTAAAAATGTACTTGGAACAGCTGGAGATTTTACAATATCCTATTTGTGACCTTCCTTGTAATTATCAGGTGAAAATTGATCATTGAATACACAGACTTTTTAAAGCTGTATTTTTATTCGCCAGCTTCTTATTTGAACTCTCCATTCCACCTTAAGAGGTGCGGCAGTCACATTCCACCATATGTACAAGTGCTAGGATGTAACTGATGCACCATTTAAGGTGGAACGGAAATTTATAAAGAATATAAGAAGCAGGTGAAAAACACACTAACACACTATCACACTATCAGTTTTGTGAGATTTTGCATGACACTTCCACTGAATGGTGCTCTCACCAGTTTGTGGTTCATTGTCAAATGCCAGTTTGTATGTTTCTGTGTCATTAGGGAATTGGTGGTAAAGTACTGGACTACACCTGGCGTTATTTACTGCTCAGGACACTATTAAACCTTGAGGTTTTGACATAGAAAATGGTGGCTTTCTGCTATATTAATGTTTAAAATGTCATACTCTATAAAATATATACTCTAAAAAGAGGTAGTTAGAGTTCTGTTTACACATCCTAAACACAGGCTGCAGTTGTGTTACATCCAGCCATTGCATTTTGTGTCAATATCGTGCAGCCCTGCTCTAAACTGTAATCTCAAAATGCACAAGATGGTTCCCAACACAGATAACTTTGCTAATAAAGAATGGAGACATTCATATATTTCAGGAAAAGTCCAATACTTTTGCACTTTAAAAATTTTCACAGATTATATTTTGTATCATTCAGAAACATGGGTAGGCCAGAGAAGGAATCCACCGCAAACCACTGCACAGCTGATTAAGATCTCTAAAGACAGGGGAAAAAAAAACAGCTCATCAACCACCTTTCAAAGAATTCACATATTACAGGACAATAATGAATAAAGAAAACAATCAGTTCATTCAGACAAGAAGAAGAAACAAATACATAAAAACAAAGAATAAACATGAAGGTTGTCAGCACAGCTTAAATGATGATTCAAATAGCTTCCTGTCCCCAAATGTGAACCAGTAGGCTGACACAGAGAAGCTACTAAATGACCTTACAGCCTGCAAAAATATTCACAAGTTTTGGTGCCCCTGGTCAAATGATGTTTTGGTCTGGTCAACAAAATGTTTTGTTGATTTTCTAAGTGAGCATAAGTCACATCTTCTACAGAAAACACCCTTCTATACCTTTTTAATGTTAACAAACAATTGTTATGTTGCTGTGTATATAATATCAACTATGACATGCAAACTCGTTTTTTTCAAATTTCATAAACTTTTATTTGGCTGCAAATATGGTGAACATGGCGCTTTATATGGACAATGAGACATTAACACTTGCGTAGCAGTTGGTGACAATGCTGAAGATGGTTTAGCCCCATCTGAGGAAAGTGAGAAACATTGTGTTTTTTGGTGGAATGACAGCAGCATTGAACGGGCCCTGTGTTAATATTGTTACACAGGCTGCATATCATTGTATGTTGATAATTGCTTGGCTAATTATGGTGTATGCTACTTTCACCTAATTTCTTGTAATGGTTACAGACTGTTTGGTTGTTTTGCAGTAAAAAAAAAGTCACCATGCAAGAGAAACATTACTTTTATGATTTATTGTTCCTTTTTGTTAAAATATGAAAGTAATGGGTTTAACACACAATGGTTTTTCTTACAGAAAGATTTAATTTGAAGTGTTTGTAGAGCGCCTGTTGTCTAGTGGTAGTATTGGCACTAATAGATAAATTAATAAATTATTTTCAAATCAAGTTTGATTTTATTTTAACTCATGTCTGATCACATACTCCAATACTAAACCAGGCAAAAAGTCACCTCACATGCAAATACGATGGTGACTGTACAGTAACCTTATCTGAAAGCTAAGAGACTTCCCTTATAAGATTTAGAGATCCTGTAAAATGTAGCAAAAATGTCACTCACAGATATTTCTCTTTTTTCAGCAACCACTCCAACCAACTACAGCTTTAACCCCTGTAAAAACTACAGTGTTGTTGATGACTACTGGAGAAACATACGCATTACTGACACTAACTACCGAGGTCATGATGACACCCTTGTTGAATGGAAGGGCTGGTACAGACTGTACATTGAGGGCAAAAGCGCTCAGCTTGCTGAAACTGTCTGGTGTAAGAGCTACATGACATGTGGTGGTTACACTACGCTTTGGCTTGGCGGATCTCATCCACGATTAGAGGACGGCATCGTCACCCGAGAAATCTACAAATCTGTCAACTATTATTGGTACTATAACCAATGCAGTCACACCAGATCCAGCTCAGTCCAAGTGAAAGCCTGTCCAGGAGATTACTATGTCTATAAACTTGTCAGGCCAGATATATCACTTCCAATGCCAACATACTGCACAGGTAAATGAACTCATAGCATAAACTTCATATTGTTAGAATGAGTTATTCTCTGAAAAAAATCATATTTGCATATCTTCATTCTATTACAGTTGGTTTTAACAGCCTCACTTATGATCCATGTCACAACTATGTCTCACTGGATCAACCCTGGAGAGCCAATAATGAGACTGGATTAAACATCTGTGACAGGGACTTCAACTGGAACGGCTGGTACCGACTGTTTCATTATGGGATGAACATCCGTATGACAGAGAGCTGTGTAGATGTGAACAGATGTGGTACTTATTACGGTCTGTGGCTCAATGGCTCTCATCCTCAGATAGAGGATGGAGTGGTCACTCGCCAGGTCTGTGCGAATGCAGGATATGACTGCTGTGCCTTTAGATTCACCCCAATAAGAGTGAAAGCATGCCCTGGAAACTACTATGTATATGAGTTTGTCAGCCCACTCTTCTGCACTATGGCTTACTGTACAGGTACTGCATTTGTGTTAAATGCTTTACACTATGATTTAATGATCTGAATATTGCAAATCCTGTATGAATAATGTGTTAATTTTTTTTTTCAGATGTCACTACAATAACCCCAACTTCAGAACTCAACTTAACCACGAGTAAGTTTCCATTGATATTTTCCTGAGTATACTGCATAGAGACTCTCTGAATACTACTTTAATGTATTAAGATCATGCAGTCAAGTTTAATGTATTGTGTTTCCTGATTCTAACCTGATTAACTCTCAAAAGATTATTAAAGGGATAAAACAATTTTAAATCAAGGAGCATTCTGTGTATATATATTACATTTTTACTAATGTGAAAAATGTGAGAAATATTTGAGTATATTTTAGCTTATATACAGGTTCAGCAGTACAAATCCAAGGTATATTTCAAACATACACCTACTTCTAAAAGTAGTATATTTCAGCTTATAATGATAAGAAGTAATTGCAAGTACTACTAAACTGCTTCAGTAAAGACGTGATAGAGAAGAGTACATTACAGGGACAGGTGACAAATTGCAGGGTAGCTTCCACAGAATAGTCAGTAAATACCCTTTTCCAGTATAGTTATTCATTTCCCATTGATTGGTATGTTTACTGGTAAGTGCTCTGTAATATGACATAAGTATCTGCAAAGTATATACCAGAAGTACCACATATTTATGCATTAAACACTAGTTATTTACCAGTACATTTTAAAGGGTTTGTTCCAACAGTGACATTTGTGTGAGATGTTGTCCTTTAATATTAAAAGTTCCTTATTCATATTTGAGGCTTGTTATGGTTCTGATTCCACAGCAGCTACACCAACCAGCATCAGCTTTGACCCCTGCAATAGGTACAGTGTTATTGATGAAGGCTGGAGAAATACACGCACTAACAGTAAAATAAGTCATGATGACACTCTTGTTGAATGGAACGGCTGGTATCGGCTGTATCTGCAGG